TTTTCAGTTTATTAGATCGAAATCTATATATAAATTATTTATTTCTGCATAATGGAGTGTACATTTTTTCAAGCCCACTCTTGAAAAGGACGGTATGATTGAAATAGCAGACTTTCTTCTTTGTGCATTTATTCATCATGCTGCGGATATTTTTGGAAATTAATTTGTCACTTATTACGTCCATGCACTTTGCCATTTAGCTGCAGAATGCCGTACTCATGCGGCTCTCAGCAATTTCAGCGCATTTAAATACGAAAACTACTTTGGTGTCATCAAACGTTGCTTAAGATCAACATATATGCCTCTTCAACAACTTTATAATAGAGACTTTGAAAGAGGAGGTCGACTCATGCAAAAAGATATGATTGACGAACAGTGTATAACATTATGTCGAAAACGTAATGAGGAAGGCCATGAAATAGAACTTTATTCCAAGTTAATATTTCAAGGAATGACACTTTCCACATCAAAAGCCGATTGTTGTTTTCAATCAAAAAATAGCGAGGTGGTCGTCTTCTCCAAAATTACTTGTCCTTTTCGTAGTACACGTATTTCCTTTCATAGATTTAGAAACATTATTAACTTTTTTATATTTCCTATCGATTCTACAGTCATTGGTATCTGTAAAGTATCGGAACTTGAGAAAGCTGAAAATATCTGGTGTATTAAGCAGGTGCTCCATAAATGCATTCTCATTTCTGTCGATGATAGTTATCTGTGTATTCCGCTCATTTATACTGGGCAACAATAAAGTAGGGATAAGAAATTTCGTTCAACTAAGTGCAGTAACATTTCATTTGTAGAAGTTCTGCATCTTTTTTTTTTACTTAATGCGCTGTATAAGTGGCATGCGTTTTATTCTTAAAATGAGCGATGTATACTGAATGTCAATAATGTTTTATACTTTCTCTTTAGAACTTTTTGGAACAAACGATTATATATTTTCATTTTCTCATTTTTTTGTGAGCTTGATATATGATGATGATTGTGTGTGTACCGCTTTCATGCTTTTCAGCAATGTTATGTCATGCCTGTGACAGTAATTTGATATTGATGGAGTTTATCACAATGTAATAGAAGTATTAAATGTTTAATATGCTTTTTTTGTCTCTATAGTTTTCGTTTGGCCAGATGGTGGCATATGCGTCGTGGCGAGTAAATGGCTAAATAAATCTAAAGATAGTGTCATGTATCCTACTAAAAGCAAATGTGCTACGAGACTAGTAATGTCTCTTATGGAAATGCAAGAAGATTGGGAAGAATGTAACGTCAACTTTTTGCATAGTTATATTAAGTAGTATAATGTAACTTTTATATATTAGATTTGGTTATAGAACTACTATTTTCTGTCGTACTTGTAAAAACTTATAACCAAGCTCGCAATGCCTCTATATTAGCTTCTGAAGATATACCTATTGACTCAAACATAGAGACTGATTACGAGAAGCCATGAAAGCGTCAACTTCCAGCCAGATTTATTCATACTTCTGATGATGACGATTCAGAAACAGAAGATATGCGTAACAAACATAAGCTGCAAATTACAGGAGAATCCCGTCGACAGATGTAACGTAAAGAGAGCAAGGAACATGAAAAGTATAAGAATATCTTTAAAATAAACAGTGTATCGGCACCTGCAAAAAATATCAGGGAACAGCTCGCTGCATTGAAAGTTCAATTTTCTCATTCCAAAGAAACATCGAAATGTAATATAGATACATCAAATACAAAACAAAAAGTCTTGATCATGAATGAACCTATGAAAGCAATAAATAATAAAGTATGACCTTGAATAAGTTCTCGCTGATTTTTCGTGAAAATTAATGCTTTATTTAAAAAAAGTCGTAAGAAACATGTCACTGAAAGTATTGTCCATCGCTAGCCACTACTTTTTTTCATCTTTCTGGCAGCATTTGAATTCCACGTCGGAAAAACGACACGTCTTTTGAGGCTATCCAAGAGTCGACCCATTTTTTGGCATCTTCATAAGAATGGAAGTGCTGCTCAGCCAGGCCATGTGCCATCGATCGGAACAAGTGATAATCGGAAGAGGCAATGTCTGGTGAATACGGCGGGTGGGGTAGGACTTCCCATTTAAGCGTTTCCAAGTAAGTTTTCACCGGTTGTGCAACATGTGACCGAGCATTGTCATGTTGCAAAATCACTTTGTCGTGTTTCTGCTCGTATAGCGGCCGTTTTTCCTACAATGCTCGGCTCAAACATATCAATTATAGTCGATAGCGATCTCCCGTGATGGTTTCGTTCGGTTTGAGCAGCTCATGATAAATTACACCCAGCTCATCCCACCAAACGTAGGGCAGAAGCTTCGAACCACGGATATTTGGCTTTGCCGACGATGTTGATATATGGCCGAGCTTATTCCACGATCTTCTACGCTTAGGGTTATCGTAGTGTATTCACTTTTCATCGCCAGTCACGATACGATGCAAAAAAACCTTTCCTTTTCTGCCGTTGAAGCAGCTGTCCACACGTGAAAAGACGCCGTTTGACGTTTCTCGACTTCAACTCGTACGGCACCAATGTCCTTGCTTTTGAATCATTCCTAATACTTTCAAACGTTTCGAAACTGTTGTGTGATCAACTTCTAATGATCCTGCAAGTTCAGCTAACGTCTGACATGAGTTTTCATGAAGTAATGCCTCCAATTCTTCGTCTTCAAATTTTTTTGGTGCGCCAGAGCGTTCTTTATCTTCAACATCATTCAACATCATTCAAAAATCATTATTTTTGAAGCGTCGAAACCAATCTCTGCATGTTGTTTCCGACAGAGCATGGTCGCTGTAAGTCTCAACAAGAATTTTGTGTGCTTCAGCTGCAGATTTTTCTTTTTAATAAAGTAGTGCAGTAAAATTCTCTGCAAATACTCTTTTTTTTGGCACGAAACTCGACATGTTTAACACTGTGAAAAAAAGTAGTTTACACTTCGGCGAAATGACATACACTGAATTTCAAGTTTGCTTATAGTATTTCATTATTGATGCGATACCATCTTAACACGCACCACTCTATATGCACACAGTTCTAGTAACGCCATCCGTTGAAACACGGCCAGAACTTATTCAAGGTCCTTATATCTCCCGAAAGATTAGCACAGAAAGGTAACAAATGAAATTTTTGTGTGGCACTTATAACTGTAAATTATTGGGAGTACAAATAAGTCTCCGCCGTTTGACAAAAGATGGCCCCACCAGTAAGTTATGGTTGAAATTGTCAGATGTAAAACGTCATATCGTAAGGTTGGACATCTTTGCAACATCATAACCTTGAAATATTAACGATTTTGTATCAGCATCACATAATTTTTTTCGTGCGAAAATGTCGAATTTTGAGCCGAATAAGCGTCATTTGCGGGAACTTTTAATTTACTTCTTTAATTTAAAGAAATCTGCAGCTGAGGCGCATCGATTACTTGTAGAAGCATATGGTGAGGCTGCTTTAAGTGAGAGAAGTTGTCGCGAGTGGTTTCAAAAGTTTAAGAACGGTGAGTTTGACGTCGAAGACAAAAAACGTAGTGGAAGGCCGAAAGTATACGAAGACGCGGAATTGGAAGCATTATTGGAGGAAGATTCGTGCCAAACGCAAGAAGAACTTGCACTTACATTAAGAGTGACTCAACAAGCAATTTTACATCGTTTAAAATCGTTGGGAATAATTCAAAAGGAAATTGGGTTCCATATGAACTGAAGCCGAGAAACGTTGAACGCCGATTTTGCACATGTGCAATGCTGCTTGCCAGGCATAAACGGAAGGGTTTTTTGCATCGTATAGTCGCTGGTGATGAAAAATGGATCCATTACGATAACCTAAAGAAGAGGAAATCATGAGGATCACGTGGCCATGCATCGACAGCCAAGCCGAATATTCATGGAAAAAAACTCATGTTGTGTATTTGGTGGGATCAGCTTGGTGTCGTGTATTATGAGTTGCTCAAACCTAACGAAATCACTGGGGCTCTCTACCGAACACAATTGATGAGATTGAGCTGAGCACTCAAGGAAAAACTCGCCCACTACTACTCCAGACACGACAAAATTATTCTCCTGCATGATAATGCTCGTCCACATGTTGCGGCGCCGGTTAAAATCTACTTGGAAACACTCAATTAGGAAGTTTTACCCCACCCGCCGTATTCACCAGACATTGTTCCCTCTGACTATCACTTGTTTCGATCGATGACGCACGGCCTGTCTGAGCAGCACTTCACATCATATAAAGATACTAAAAATTAGGTCGATTCGTGGATAGCCTCAAAAGATGAAGCGTTCTTTGGACGCGGTATCCGTATGCTGCCAGAAAGATGGGAAAAAGTAGTGGCTAGCGGTGGACAATACTTTGAATAAAACATAAGGTACCGTTCTTTCACAATAAATGCCCAATTTTTGATAAAAAACGGCGGAGACTTATTTATACTTCCAATATAAACTTTTCTTTCGTTTTTATAATACTTATATAGACTGTATTAACACCTCAGAATTGCTTTTTATTACATAGAAATTGTTATGAATTATGGGAAGAGTCCTGCAGATACAGGAAATGCAAATATTACTGATGTTCCCAGTGTACTCCAACACACAGATCTTCATGCTTTTGAGAACTTGTCTCAACCTTCATTAAATACCGACATTATAAGCCTACTTTTCTACTAGAATATTTTGGTGATACTTCCTGGATTACCTTTTTCCTATGTCGAGTAAAGATTTCTTTCTTATCTAGTACCACCTACACTTGCACATCTAGTAATCAATATTATGAAATATATTTTGTTTATTTCCTTTCTCCACCCATTATGTGCAATATGTTTGAAGACAAAATATGAGTATTCTAGCCGGTTTTGGAATGTTTGGCAATGTAAGCTATTACTTATTTTATATTTTTTTTAGATATAATTTATAATTCTGAAATATTACTCGCATCGCCATCATTATCAATTTCTACATTTCCCCCCATATTGCGTGGATTAGATCGTAACAAAAAGATTGAAGTTTGCCGGGACAGTGAGGAATATAATGAAAATTATATGCAAAACTTTGAAGAACATAGGTCTGCACAGCAAGCTATTGATAAAAGGAAAAATTCAGTAACAACAAATAACGTAAAATCGCCCTTGAAAGGTGAGAATAATAATTTATTTTCCAACTATTTGTCTTAAACTATATATGACATATTATTAGTCAGGCTGTGGCGACCCGGGACAAAAAATTTTCAGATATGGATTTTTTCTACATCTGATTAGATATAATCAGATGTAACATTATATATGATTCAGATCTGTCCACATATAATAATATATAATCATATATAATCATTTATACAATTATATATGATTATATATGTGGATAGATCTGAGTCATATATAACGTTACATCTGATTATATGTAATCAGATCTTGACAAAATCCATATCTGAACTTTTTTTTTCCCGGGGATTTCTCCCACAATAAAAAAAAAAAATGACGGTAAATAGTTCTACATTTTTCATTTCCATACCACTTATAAAATGAAAGTAAAATTGATTAATTGATTGACTATTTTCCACTGAGAAAACTAGTTCAGCACTAATGGAGTACAGTCGCGAACAAAAAGGTTGTTACTACTTTTTCAATGCAATTTAGAACGCAGAACGCATTACCCTAAATGAAAGAATTAGTTTTGGAAATATTCCCAGATGATTTATTCTTTTATTGAAAAATTAAGTAGCGCTCTAAACTGCATAAAAAAGGTAATAGAACAACCTTTTTGTTCACGACTGTACTATAGCAGTGCTGCACTAGTTTTCTTAGTACAAAATGCTATAAGTGAACATGTATATCATTTTCAGGGAGCACAAATATGACATGGACAATTACTGAAAATTTTGTTAAAATTCAAGAAGAAATACGTGTGAAGCTTGAACACATGGAAGTTAAGTTAGACCGGATCCTAAATAAGCTCTTCTCAGAGGAAATAAAATTAAACACATCACACGGAATCCCAGCATTTCCTCTACGTACAGAAGAAGAATGGGAACAAATGGAAGAAATTCTCACAGATGATAATGCATTTATATACGTGGTAAATATGTCATCGTGTACTTCATTTTTAATTGAATATTTTTTCCGTTTTTTGTTACCGCGTTACTGTGTTCTGACAAGATCAAAATTATATAATGTTTATTAATCCGTGACACTGTTGTATAGGTAGATGTCCTTATGGCTAAAATGAAAAACGAGAAATCAGAAATTGCTGCTGTGCAGTGTGTACTCCCTAAAATTATAACGAATTCTTTCTCCAGATGTATTAGTTGGAAAGGTACTCAGAAAAGTAAAATAGCATTTAACAAAAGCAAAACATTTGAGGTTCAAGATAATTACTTTATCTTATACATTAATGCATTCTATTTACAAATAATAATTGAAATGTAAAGAGTTATTTCATATTTTGACAAAATTCAAGAGAGGTAAACTAGATACAGACGTCATTGTAACTGTTCTGTGCTCCTTGGGAACCGCACGATGTTCAATTTGTGGACGTGTATGATATTGATGCTGAAGAAGATAATTATGAAGATGAAATTTGTATTGTGGATAATGAAGGTGGAAATATAAATTTAAATTACAAAAGAAAAGCAGTTGAATTTTGGAACAGTAGAAAAAAAAGGACGTTTATCTATTACCACTATACAGAATCGTTTTAGAAAGGTAAAATTTATAATTCTAACATAAGAAAAGTAATACGAGCTGATTGAGCAGATAAATGTGCGTTGTATAAGTAGTAGATAATAAACAACAATAGAAATAGAAAGATGTTTAATTGTTAGATTTACAGAGAGTTACATTACTTATTGTTACATCGCATAGTCTTTTTATTTTTGAATTTTCTAGTTATAAATATTAAACTTCTTTTCTTTTATGTAAAATCTATTTCGCAATTACACAGATGGGAAGAAAATATAATGCGCGAAGGGTCAAACAGGGACAAACTTGTATTTATTGCCGAATATGTACTAATGTAATTCCAAGAAGCTCTTGCTAGAGGATCTATCATAACATAGATTTGCGAAAATGGGCATTACAAGCAAAGGAGCAAATAAATCTTCCTTTATTTAGAGAAGGAAATTGGTGAATATAGAATTTTAAAAAAGCACATTATATTAGATCACATAAAATAACAACTTTTAAAACCCAATCTTCTTATACAACTGATGTAACAATACGTCAAAGTGCAGGAGAATTTTTGAGACAAGTTAAACCACATATTGATGAAATCGGTGCAAGATCAATTTATAATGCAGATGAAAGTGGTTTTAATTTAGAAATACATTCTGGCAGAACATTAATGTAGGAGAAAAAAAGTTGAATCTACTATTCAATCTTTATCTTCTATGAGTCATAGCTATACCATTATGCCCATTATATTTGCAGATGGATATCTTCTTTCACCTCTGTATATAGTATTAAAAGAATCTAGCGGACAATTTGGGCCACGCGTAAAAGAAACCCATTTTAAACCTGTTAATGTTTACATTGCGATTTCAAAATCTGGAAAACTTATAAGTCAACATTTCAAAAACTAGTTTGAAGAAGTCTACGAAATACTGGAAAAAAAAATATACTGCTGCTTGATTCATGGACAGGACATTGTCCGGAACAATTAAAAGAATTTATACCAGCAGATAAATAAGTAAATGTTTTAACAATACCAAAAAAACAACTGCTTTTGTATAACCTTTAAACGTTTTTGGTTTTAGAATTTGGAAACATTTTGTTCGATGTTTCTCTGATAATGTTATTTTACATAATTATGACATAAATTTACATATGCACGTAATAATATAATAAAATTACAAAGTTTAACACATAATCAACTTTCTTCTCCAAGATTTCAAAATCTATTTAAATATAGTTGGTACAAAAGTGGATATTTATCAACATGGCCTGAAAAGTTTGATAATCCAATAAATTTTTGTTATTTTAAAGAAGAAAAACATGTACCAAGATGTAATGTTTGTGGTAAAATTGCTTTTACAGGTTGTGCATAGTGCAAAGAATATTTTTGAACATTTTTACGAACAATATCATTATTGTAACAATTACATAGAATAAATAATATTTTGATAATTAATTTAATTTAATTTTAAAATTAATTTAATTTTTGTTGATGTAAAAATTTTATAAAATGTTTGAACATTTTTCAAATATTATTAAACTTCTATATCTTAAATTGAAATTTAATTTGTAAAATATTATATTAAAATATATTATATTATAATGTTTATATTATTCGGAATATTAAAAGATTCCCATTTCGTTCTTCATATTATTTTTATATAATGTGTGTAATACAAAAAAATTATTTACGTAACTGGTTACAAATGTTATTACTTATATTTTGTCATATTTCACATATATAAATATAATTTATATAACCGTACGAGGGTAGTCCCAGAAGTACCCGGCCTAACAAAGAAAACACAAAAATTTTGAAAAAATATATCTTTATTTCTCAACATAGTCCCCTTTTAGCTCGATACACTTTTCCCAGCGATGTTCAATAGCTTCGATACCATGTTTATAGTGAGAACCATCGAGTTCCTCAAAATAGCCATCAACCGCAGACTCCACCTCTTCATTGTTAGCAAATCTTTTACCACCAAGCCATTTTTTCAAGTTTGGAAATAGATAATAATCTGAGGGGGCTAAATCTGGTGAATAGGGTGCGTGAGAAAGCAATTCAAACTTTAACTCATTGATTTTGACGTAATAACGGACGTGTGAGCCGGTGCGTTGTCATGATGAAACAACACTTTCTTTTTCGCCAAATGCGGAAAACGTTTTTTCTTGATTTCATCACTCAAACGCTGCAATAAGTTCGCATAATACTCGCCGTTGATTGTTTTTCTTTTTTGAAGATAATCAATAAAAACTATTCCACGCACATCCCAAAAAACTGACGCCAATACCTTGCCAGCCGATGGAGTTGTCTTCGCCTTTTTCGGAGCCGATTCTCCCCTTTCAGTCCATTGTTTCGACTGTTCTTTCGTCTCAGGTGTGAAATGATGAACCCATGTTTCATCCATGGTTATGAATCGACGCAAAAACTCGGCCTTATTACTGCGAAACATCGCCAAACACTCGATTGAAACATCCTCACGACGCTGTTTTTGTTCAATTGTGAGCAAACGCGGCACCCATCGTGCGCACAGCTTTCTCATATCCAAATTTTCAATCAATATGCGATATACAGCACTTTTTGATATGCCTACCATGTCAGCTAACTCGCGCACTTTCAGTCGACCATCCAATATCATTTTGTGGATTTTCGTTACCATTTCTGGCGTGGTCACCTCATTTGGTCGACCACTGCGATGTTCGTCTTGGCAGCTCTTACGGCCTCTTTTAAACTCTGCCACCCAATATTTTATTGTTGTAAACGAGGGAGCAGACTCCCCCAGAGTAGAATCTAGCTCAGTTTTGATATTGGTTGGACTGAGACCTTTCAAATGAAAATATTGTATCACATAACGATGACCAATTTTCTCCATGTTTACAAATGTACTGAGAGCGTTCACTATTGATAGCTGCCAAACTAATACTAAACAACGTAGCGTCTTGAAACTTCAAGCTTCAGCTTTATAAGGTTGATGCTTTCGACCATAGTGATTTTTTTCAAACAACAACCGCCATCTATACGTCAGGTCGGGTACTTCTGGGACTACCCTCGTATATGTTATGATTATTATTATGAATATTCGTTATCATGTATTGCTGAACCTTAGGAAGAAAGGAAAAAAAGAGATAAGTTGTCATGAAACAGCGAGCGAATAAGATTAGTATATTACGTTCAAAAAATAATTGTTTAGCCAGAATTGTTAAATAAAACATAAAGTAATTGTTTATTTAGTAATATTTATTTTATTTCCTTCAAAATACTCTCCATTTGATGCAATGCACTGGTGCCAACGCTTGACCCAGTTCTCAAAGCACTTTTTGTACGCTGAAGTTGGTATTGCCTTCAGTTATCGTTGTGAATTTTCTTTAGTAAATATACAGAATAACGAACCACCCTCCGATTGTAATAATCTTTGGATATATTATACAGTTGATCATCCTGAATAATATTTAAGAGGTTTTAACCGTCGCTCGTTGTTCATTAAAAAGTTATTAACAAAGAAAGTGTAATGAATATAATATAATTTTCTGATACTATATATACTGATATTGTAGTTTCGTATTGTCATGTTGTTCGATAAGTGAAAGTTGTTTTGTTTATATTTCTTACCGGAATGAAATAAGTTACTGTTGATATTAGACATATGAAACGTACTTGTAAGGAATGTTAAGCCAATATACGACAGTTTTTCGTATAGTCATCGTTCGACTACTGAAAAATGAAATTCTATGAATTTCTCGTATTAACGACGAAAAGTATCGAGTTATTAAATTATTTATGCGCAAAAAATATACATGAAAAAATAAAGTGTCCACGTTACGAAAATGTTGAATTTAATACAGAAGAATCATTAATTATTCATTGTACCCAACATTATTACATACAAATTAAAGGTCGAACAACTAGCGAGGGGCTGCGCACCCCCCTAAAAACTAACCTATTATCACATTAAGCGTCAGTTGTTTATTAAAGTGTTCAACTTTTGTGTTAATATGATGATAGGTTGGGTTAGGTTAGTATGGAGGAGGCGCAGTCCCCCGCTAGTCGTTCGATATTGCAGTTCTTCGATATTGCTCGTTAACGGTACACAGTATCGAAAAATTGTAATATATTTTTCCAACTTCTTTCATCAATAACTTTTAAAAAAACAATGAGCGACGGCTAAAATCTTCTGAGAGTTATTCAGGAGGATGACTTTTTTTTTTTTTTTTTTTTATAACCCAGGGGAAATGGGTTACGCATCCCCCGGGGGCTCGGGTAAGCCTCCGGGGGTATGTGGGACTCCCTCCCCTAGAAAATGGGGGAGGTATACCCACTAAAACCCCTGGGGATGTCCAACACGTGCGCCATAATTCGAGGGCCCCCCGGTACACTTTCTAGTATTCTTCAGGGGGCCCTCGGCGCCTTCGCGCTTGCGCGCTTCTTCCCGCGCCGGCCTAGTCGGCCGGCGCTTTGTATTCCTAGTTGGCTACGAGGAGGGGACACCTTCCTCCTCGCAGCCCCTCCGTCCGAGTCGGGAGGTTGGGATGGGCCGGGAGCGGGATTGCCCGCCCGCTCCCGACCCCCTCCCCTGTCCCTAACCCTCGGGGGGAGGTTAGTTCTGCCACAGAGTTCGGCTGACCGTTACCACCC